CCTGGGTAGGCTTTGAGTGGGTTTGGGGGTCCTTGGGGAGCTCTGTGGAAGCTTTTGGGGGGTCCCAGCACCTCTTGGGGTGAGCTGGTTGCTTTATTGAGGGGCAGGTGCCCTCCCAAAGCCCCTGCAGAGTGGGGTGACATGGGGGGAACACAGGGGAGTCCGCATTTCTGATCCATCCCACGGCCGGTTCTGCCCCCCCCAAACTCAGCTCCAACCCTTGGGATTCCCCCAAGCCCCTTCCCCACTGCCCCCCAATAACCAGGACTGGGGAGAACTGGGAAGCTTTACTGGGATCACTGGGAGCAGCTGGGTGGTGTCAGAATAAAAGCAGGTGAGGGGGGGACACACGACCCTCCCAAAATCCTCACAGGGATGGGGGAGGTCCAGGCTGGGCCTGAGGCCCCGGGGAGGGCCTTTGTTTCCATCAGGCCCTGCCACGTCCCAGACTCCCTTTGGTTCCATGAGGTGCTGCAGGGTCACAATGTCCCCTTTGTTCCATGAGGTCCCTCCATGTCCCAGGGTTCCTTTGGTTCCATGGGGTTCCAGAGTGCCAAAACTCCCTGGTTCTTCTCCTTCCAACATTTGTGGGCCCATTCTCTCCCTGCCTGGGATGGAGCCCCATTATGTTTCTGCAGGAATGGATCCATGGCCATCCTGCCACTGTCCCAATTGAATGCTGCAGAAACGTCACTGCAGGCCCGACCCTGGATGCAGGAACAGTCTGGGAACTCCAGGCCTGCTGACATTCAGCAGAGCCAGTCGGGGTCCCAAAGAGCACAAGTGATTGACTGCAACCCCTGCAGGTCTCTGGCATTGCTGGGGACAAAGGCAGGAACTGCCAGGAGCTCTGCAGAGCCCTGACAGTGCCACTGCAATCCCAAGCTGCATTGCCCGGGGCAACCCTCAGCACAGCCAAGGCCACAACCCTTCCTGAAAGGTGTCCCTTCTGGGCAGGGCCAGGGGGACAAACCCCTCCATCTGTCCCTGCACATGTTGGGTCCAGTTCTCATCCCCCACTTAGGGACAAAGTCAGGGTACATTGGGTGTTTAGCTTTGCATTTGCTTCACTCTTTTGTGCTTCCAACACACACACACCCACCCCACTCTGGGCAGAGTCTGGCCCCCCAGAGAACACAAGACCTGACTATTTGTGGCTCCTGCTGCAGTGGCTGGAACTTGGGCCACAACCTGTGCCAGGAGCAGAGAGGTCCCTCCCCACAGAAACTTCTTGGCAATGGAGTTCTTAAGAAAACGGGACAGGCTGTGGGGATCAGTGTCAGGGCATGGCCTGGGAAGTGTCTTCAGCATCCTCCTGTTTACCATGACCAGCTTTTTCATCCCTTTTCTCTCTGTTTTCTCACACTCGTTCCTTCACAAACCACTGTGATCCCACCATTTCCCTCCCTTTGGCTCTTCCCTAGAGATCTCAGCACAAGTCTTGCCCAGTCCCCAAATGTGCTTTCTTGGTGCCCATCATAAGACTCACACCCCAAACAGAATCCCCCATCTTCAACTGGCAAGGTCATCCTGGGAGGCTCTGCCATTGACCCATTTGGTGAAACTCTCACACAGAGATGTTGGAACTTTATTTGAATTGATTTTTTACCTTTTGGGTTTACAGTGGCTTCTCCAAAAACATGGTAATTCATGTCCTAGCAACAGAAATTCTTTGGAGAAGGAGTTTGGGACTCAAAGAATCAAGAATGGTTTGGCTTGGAAGGGACATAAAAGCTCAGGTGGTCCAAGTCCCTGGACATGGAGAGTGACATCTTCACTAATTGAGGCTGCTCAAAGATCCTGACCTTGGACAAATCCAGGGATGGGACATCCTCTTCTGTTGCAGTTCTTGCCAGCCCCATTGGTAAGTATTTCTTTATTTTATCCAATAGAAACCTCCCCTATTTCATTTCAAAGCCATTGCCCTGTGTTCTACCACTGCAGGCCTTGGTAAAACGTATCTCTGTGACTACCTTAGACTATGTTTTCATCTGCAGACACCTTGGAGAGTGCTCAGAGATGTCCCAGAAGGGGTTTGGAGGTCTCAAACATATAACTACTCTACGGGGCAAAGGAGTGGTGGGTTCAGTGGTGTGCAGGCAGAGGACAGCAGAGAAGAACCCTGGGAGTGCTTGAAGAGTCACTTCAGAGAGGGTGGATGCTTTTGTCGTAGCAGAAAAGAGCACTGGAAAGAAAGAATTAATGGCAAGTGCAGCTGGGGAGGTCCAGGCTGGAAACAAGGAGAAAGAAATTTCACTCAAAGGGCAGTGCTGTGGTGTAACACATCACCCAGAAGGAGTCTGGATGAGCCCAAGGCTTTGTATGTGCAGGAAGAGCCAGGGAGGACGCAGAGATGTCAGTGCAGGAAGGTGCCAGCCAGGTGGGGCAGCCGGGGGGATGACGACAGCCTGCAGGGAAAGGGGCAGGGCATGGACACCGTAGGACAGCCTGGGCTGGAGAGGAGTGTTGCCAGTGTATTTTGGTGCTGAAAAAAATCTCCAGGAGCAGTTAATTAGGGGTGAGATAAGAAAGGGTTTATTTACCAAGGCAAGATGTTATAGGACGCACACAGGCCGTGCCTGAGAGGTTACATTTTATAATGTCATCCATCCAATCCCAGATGTGCCCACCCTGCGACCTTTACTCTGGTCTGCCTCCTTGAAATGGGTCTGGGGTGTATTTTGGGACCCCCCCTTCCTTATCTTCATCATCATCAGAGCACAAAGGGTACATAGTTACCTAATTCCTGATCTATTCTGTGGTTTAGGCCCAGATATACTGTTCTGTCAACTGTCTAGGCCTTGCCTTGAAAAAAGACTAAACACTTCTGCTGTATTCAGAAAAAGGATTGATATGGGGAGCATAGAATGGGGTAAGAGGGTTGAGGAATGTATAAACAAGGGTGCTAGAGAGGGAAAGGAACAAGGGACAAGGGGGGGAGGAAGGTTGCTGCTTTTAAAACTTACTTACAAAACTTACAAGTCTTACAAATATTAGAAAAATAAAAAACCATTAGGGGCTTAAGGCATCAGGAGACAGGAATGGGGAGAAGCTGAAAGGCCCTGACACAGCCACCTTCTGCAGGCCTTTGGCCAGGGCTGCTGTCTGTGCCCCTGGTGCCAGGAGGAGGGGAGTGCCCCTTGCAGCCCTGGGGCCTCATGGCCTCCTTGTCCCTGCTCAGCAGCCTGGCAGGTGCCACCCCATGGTCCTGCCCTTGTCATTGCACATCCCACATCCCAGTGCCCCAGGAAGAGCCCTGAGGAATGAGGCAGGGACAGGATCTGCCTTCCCAGGGGCTGGGGGTCAGGGCTTGGCCCATTGGATTAAGGAAACACATCCAGGTTTCCTCAGCATCAGAGCCACCTTTCCCTTGCTTGTCCATCCTTGTCATCACTGTCTGCACTTTTCTGCTCTAACTGGAACCTGGGGACACGTTCTCAGTTGTGTCCCTCAGTGAGACTCATTAGCACTGCAAGAAACTTCAGTGTTTCAATCTCAGTTTGACTTCTTGAAAAGTTGTTTGAACTTCCTCTCAGGGACTGAGTCTCATGTAAACAACATCAAACTCCCTTGAGGGTCATTAAATGCCTGGGGCTGTTGCTGTGCTGCTGAGCTGGGCTGGGCTCCTGGCACACAGGGAGCTCCTGGCAAGCAAGAAGAGCTTCAAAGAGACAGCTCTGCTGGTGAGCAGCTCCTCTGCACAGCCCAGCAGGGCTGAGGGCACTTCCAGGGCACCAAGGGCAGGGGAGTGAGACAGAGAGAAGTTAAAGGCTGTCAGACATAGAGTGATGCTGAGACCTCACTGGGGGAGAACTTTTAACAGACCTTGGCACAGGAAGTCTGTTCATGCAGGGCAATGGGACTGCAGCTTTTGGAGGCATCTGGTAAAGCTGGCACTGCCCACCAACTACAGATTCTGCAAGTGCAACTCTGAGAGTATCTGGAGTGCAGAGGAGGAGGACATGCTCAGAGCTTCAGCTCCCTCTCAGAATATTTCCAAGATGAAGATCTTTATAAGGTTAAAGAAATTTCCTGAGATTGTGTTTCCAGTTTCCTACTCTTGAGGAATGGGAGGGATAAATCATTAAGAAAGTATTAATTTTGACAAGTCCCTGAGACATTTGAACTGTGAGTGCTCAGTAGGTTTATCTGAGCTTCCTAATGTGCTTTCAGCCACTGCTCTACCTGTGGGTAGCACCAGCATCACCTCTGCTAGACCCATCAGGATAAGTCTGAGCTGTCATTTTTGCGCCTGCAAACGGAATATGACCCCTAGCAGTGCAGCCTGTGGTGCTGGGGAAGGAGCTGAATCTGCTTAAATCAAATGCCATCATAAGGACACTTGGCTGTCTCCCTGAGGTTTCCTTCCAAGCTGTGAATTTCCCTCCAGGTTGGAAACCTGTCCCCTAACATCTCCTTGTTATGTGAAACCCCTGTACCGAAGCACAGTGATGCTAAAACAGTGAAAATGCTGTTCAGTAGGGACCCAGCACTGGAGCTGAAGGAAGATCTCCTAGGAAATCAAAAGGCTGTCTGTGTGTGCCCTGGGGAGTATCTGTAGAATACAGCTTTGACTTTGTTTAGATAAGTCCACGCTAACTGTCCTCTTACTGTCTTCTTCTCATGTGTTGGAAAAAAACACCCTGAGGCAGCAAATGTCCAACAGCAGCTCCATGCCCCAGTTCCTCCTCCTGGCATTCGCAGACAGGCGGGAGCTGCAGCTCCTGCACTTCTGGCTCTTCCTGGCCATCTCCCTGGCTGCCCTCCTGGCCAACGGCCTCATCCTCAGCGCCGTAGCCTGGGACCACCACCTGCACACCCCCATGGGCTTCTTCCTGCTCAACCTCTCCCTCACAGACCTGGGCTGCATCTGCACCACTGTCCCCAAAGCCATGCACAATTCCCTCCATAACACCACAACCATCTCCTACATGGGATGTGCTGCACAGTTCTTTTTCTTTTATTTCTTCATCTCAGCAGAGTTTTCCCTCCTCACCATCATGTGCTACGACCGCTACGTTGCCATCTGCAAACCCCTGCACTACGGGACCTCCTGGGCAGCAGAGCTTTGTGACAATGGCAGCAGCTGCATGGGCCACTGGGGCTTTATCAATGCTTGCTGCACACAAGGCCAAACATTTTCCCTGCCCCTGTGCCAGGGCAATGCCCTGGGCCAGTTCTTCTGTGAACTCCCACACATCCTCAAGCTCTCCTGCTCACACTCAGGCTACCTCAGGGAAATTGGGCTCATTGGGGTTACTGTCTGTTTAGTGTTCAGTTGTTTCATTTTCATTGTTTTCTCCTATGTGCAGATCTTCAGGGCTGTGCTGAGGATCCCCTCTCAGCAGGGACGGCACAAAGCCTTTTCCACGTGCCTCCCTCACCTGGCTGTGGTCTCAATCTTTGTCAGCACTGGCGCATTTGCCCACCTGAAGCCCCCCTCCATCTCCTCTCCATCCCTGGACCTGGCCCTGTCAGTTCTGTATTCAGTATTACCTCCAGCACTGAATCCCCTCATCTATAGCCTGAAGAACCAGGAGCTCAAGGATGCCCTGAGAAAAATGATGACTGGATGCTTTTCAAGAGCAATAACCTGCCTCTTTTCTTCTGCACAACACTCATTGTGTAACCCTTTACTGGCCCAGCCTGCTTTCTAAAGCTTTTGAGAGTGGTGGTGGGGGCCGTTTCCTACATTTTTTCCTCTTTTAATGTTGTTAACACAGAAATTTATTCTTCATCTCATACCTAATTCACTCTCTACCTCTTTGTTTTGACCCACAATTGTGTAAATGTGGAATCATTCTCTGTGTGCATTTAAAGAAAATAAAAGTTTCTGCAGCAATTTCTTTGTCAAACATCCTGCCTTTGTTATTCTGTACATGAGGAATCACAATCTCTGAGTAGAATAAAGGACTTGAATTCTTTTTTCCAGATTCTCCCTCCAACAACTTCCCTGAAGCTGGAGGGCAGTGTCTGTGTGCAGAGGTGAAGGGGTAAAGAGTCCTGGTACAGCAGCACTGCCAGGGAGCAGCAGCTCTTGGCCTTTTCAGAGATGCTCTTTTCCCACTGCCTCCCTCTCCTTTCTGCTCCTTGCCCAAGGCCTGAGTGCTCTGGCAGCTCAGTCCCTGCTGTGTGTCAGTCCTGTGACCATGGGCAGAGACAGGCCCTGGGCATTTCTGGGACTGAGCTGTGCTCTTTAACATCATTTCCATCAGGAAAGGGGATCCCCCTGGGCAGTTCCTGAAGACTTTGTTCTTTTTGAAAGGTTGGTGTAAAGAACAAGGCCAAGGAATATGCTCCCTAAAGTCTCATTGCTTTGCTTGTTTCCCCAGTCTCATTGCTTTGCTCTGTACCAGAGCCAGGGGTGGGCTTTCCAAGAGGGTGTCCTGAAGAACTCTCCAGCCCACAGGCTGCATGGAGTGGAGCCCTACCCTGCCCTTTGTGCCATTGGAAACAGCCCATGGTCCTGCCCAGCCTTGTTCTTGGCTACTGAGCCTTCCAGGACTATGGCAGAGGGTGGAGAGGAGTGATCCCCATCCTGCTGGGTCTGCTCCCCACCCTGACCAGCATGGCCAGTGCAGGGTCAGCCCAGGGTGCCACAGCCCCTCCCTGTGCAGAGCAGCACCTCCAGCTCAGGGCCCTGCAGGGATCCCAGGCTGGGATCTGCAACTGGCCAAGGCAACCTGGACACACTGACCTGGGCAAAGGGATGTCCCTGCAGAAGAGCAAAGGAGCATTTCTGGGCCTGCAGAGAGGAATCCCTGACACAGAGAAACCTCTTTCTGCAGCCCCCCTGGGGACAGGCTGCTCTGTCCCTGGGCCAGGACTCTGGGCTGGGCTGGGCAGAGGGGCTGGCACTGAGGGGCACAGTCAGGCTGTGCTGGGCATCTCCTGGAGGTGACACCAGGGCTCCTGCAGTTTCCCTGACCTCCATTTCCTCCTGCCATGCTGAGTGTCCAGCCCCTGAGCTGATGGGGATGCTGAGACTCCTCTCTGTGCCCCAGGAGCTGCTGTGCCCTTCAGAGGGGCTGGGGCTGTGGGGGGAGTGCCCAGAGCTCTGCAGCACCCTGGGCTGGGCACTGCTGTGGGGCCAGACCAGACTGGGCTGCTCCACCCGTTGACCTCTATAATGAAATCACTTCTAATTTTCTCCTGAAGAACCATGAGAATATGTGTTGTGTCCTGAGGACTAATCTGGAACTGTGGGATAATAGAAAAGGTTTTGGTGTCAGGGATATTGAGAAGGCTGGGCAGTGTCACTGGGAGACCTCTCCCAAACCCTTGGAAAGGCCAGAGCCATCCCAGAGCTTCCTGGGGCCTTGGGAAAGGCAGACATGGAACCAGTCTGCAAACAGGGCAGCAAGGAGGGTTGGCAGAGTTCCAGACTGCTCAGACTCAGCAGGGAAGGGGATAGGGCAAGTCCTCCTGCAGCCGTTGCCAGGCATGGGAAGGACAAGGCAGGGATTGCAGAACCCCTGTGGGAGGGAAAGGAATGGAATGTTGTGTGTCCAGACTTCAGCAAGGCCTTTGACATGGTCTCCTTTGGTCTCCTTAGAGCCAGACTGGTGACAGCTGGACTGGACAAGTGAAACATGTGGTGAGTGGGAAGTTGAATGACTGATGAGGGTCAAAAGTCATGGTACAAAGTCCTCTTGGCAGCAACTCCCAGGTGACATCCATCAGGGACCAGCCCTTGACCATTCCTATGGAACATCTTTATTATGTCTCTGGGTGATGGGATGAAATGCACTTTCCACTCCTTTGTGGATGATGCCAAGTTGCAGCGAGTCTGTGAGAAACCTCCTCTAGTTAATGGTGACTTGGACAAAAAATGTGGTCAAGATGACTGAGTTGGATAAACTTGTCCTGCCATCAGGTGCCCAGCAAGGCCCAAGACAATGAAGAAAAAACTCATGGGTCAGAGGAAAGGAAAATCAAAAGGAGGGAAAAAGACCAAACACAACCAACCCAAACCCAAACAAACACAGAATGACAGAATATGCTGAGGTGGGAGGGACCCACAAAGATCATCCAGTCCAACTCAACTCATCCAGTCCATTGCCATCTGCCCCCACCCCAGCAGGCTCTGGAGCAAAGCACAGCTGAGGTCCAGCCCAGCTCTGCTCTGACACAAAGAACCTGCAGTCAGGGACAGGAAGAGGACAAAGTCTTGTTTAACCAGCCTGAGGAATAATGGGCTCAATGACCTCCTCTATTCCTGGGCACTTGAATGACCCTGTGGATCAGGTTTGGTAGCAGGGAGGGGGCTGCAGGTTTCCCTTAGGGAAGAGGAGATCAGGAGTTGACTCTGTCAGAGAGAGCCAGTTTCAGGTGGCTCCAAAATGGACCAGCCAGTGCCCAAAGCTGAGCCAAAAAGCAATTCCAGAGGCACCTCTGTGATAACCCTTTGGAGAAAGGATAAAAGCCAGGGTGCTGTAACCCAGAGAGGAGTGAGAGAAATGTGGGAGAAACAACCCTGCAGGCACCAAGGGGAGTGGAGAAGAAGGAGGAGTGAGAGAGCCTTGGTGGGCACCTGGCAGCCAAAAGCCAACCCCCAGCCCTGAGAGCCACAGCTCAGCCCAGCACAAAAGCTCCTTTAGGTCTGGAGGTTCTTTGCAGCAGCTTCTTAGCAGAGCTGCCAGCTGGGCCATCAAAGGGGATGCTCAGCTGGGTCTGAAACCTGTGTGATCCTTGTCGGCCTTGGCTCTGTAGGAAAGAACTATAGAATCCGAAATAGTTTGAGTCAGATGGGACCTTTATAGGTCATCTAGTCCAACCCCCATGCAATGAACAGGGACATGTTCAACTAGATCAGGTTGCTCAGAGCCCTTTCTAACCTGGCCTTGAATGTTTCCAAGGGTGGGGCTTCTATGACCTCTCTGGGTGATCCGTGTCAGTGTTTCACCACCCTCAGTGTAAAAAATTTCTTCTTTATACCTAGTTCCAATCTGCTCTTTTTAGTTGAAAACCATTATCACTTGTCTTATTACAACTAAGTCTGTCCCCATCCTTCTTATAGGTATGATCTCAGGAGCTCCTGACAAGCCTTGACCAAACCAGCTGAGCAATGAAGACCCCCTGGACTGGACCAGGGATGTGGTGAAGTGTCCCTGGACTGGACCAGGTGCTCCTGAATGACAAAGGTGGGAACAATCCCAGGTGGAACAGTTGGGGAACACAGGATAATCAGTCATCCCATGAAAGCCTTGGAAAATTCCCTGACTGAATCACAGCCCTAATGGAACAGTTTGGATACAATTCCCAAATAGTTTGGAAACTCCAGTCATTCCTGACACCAGGATGGAAATTCAGCAGATCACTAAAGCCAGTCCCCTTGTGAGCCCACACCCAGCGGGGCTGAGGGAGGCCCTGGCAGCTCCCCAGCACCTCCCTCTCAGTGGGACACCTCTGGCAGCCTCTCCCAGCTCGGGAACCCTCCAGTTTCCAACACTCCAAAGACCCTCACTGGTGCCCAGGACAATTCTGATCCCACTCAACAAACACTCCTCCAGCTGGGACCCTTGTCTGTTGGCAAACACAAAGGGATTTGTGGGAGTGTTTCCCTGACAACAAGGAGAATTTGGGAGAGGGACCTTTCCACAGCCAGCTCTTGATGTGTCCACACATCTCTGCCTGGGTGTGGGTGTGAATTGACTGTGGTGGGAATGTTGTTATTGGGAATCTCTAATTCAGTCACTGTTAAAATTGTGGCAAATCCTATTGAATCACTTGAAAACTGCTCAACTGGTCAATGATTAAGTGCTATTAAACTCTTTTGCACCCTGACCTTCTTGCAACCCAAGGCTCTGTGTAAATCATTCTCTTTCATCAAAAAATATATATTTTTCATGACTTCCACTTTAAAATCTTCCTCCTTAGCTAAACTACAAAACAACTCCAATTAGCTGTAGAAGTCTTGAAGACAATTAAAGAAAGAAAAATAATTTGTTTGTCAGTGTTTTAATGGGTCCCACAGTGTGTTTGGAGTTGCATCAGCTGTCAGTCCAAGATGGGCCATGTCAGAACTGGTGAGGTTGGGAGGTGAGGAGCAAGGTTGATCATCCAGGGTCAGTTGGATCTCCTGAGGAGACACTCAGCATCAAGATCACTTGGAAAACACCTATATCACCTCTTCTCTGAATTAAAAAATAGCCACATTGAATTAAAACAAAAAAAGTACAAATTTTGAAGACTTGTTTTGAAATTGCCTTGAAGACAATTAAAGGAAGACAAAGAGATCCTGAGGGATTTCTGGAATTTAATGAGCCCCACGGTGTGTTTGCAGCCCAGCCCATGATCCTGAGGTACTGAGAGAAGATTGAAGCAGCTGCTGAAGAAGTCAGAAGCCAAACTTCAAGTCTTTTGAAGCATTGCTGGGCCCCACTGAGGGCAGGCACTGCCAAAGCCTCCCCAGGGACTCCTTGGAGCAGCTCCTTGGAGGCCAGGAGTGCAGGCAGACAAAGGCTCTGGGCAGGCCCCTGCAATGCTGAGCAAAGCCTGCCTTGGTTTTGTGGAGCACAAAGGCCAAGGCCTGAGCCCCAGGCCCTGGCCCAGCAGATCCTGTCCCTCCCGGCTGGCTCAGGGCTGTTTGGGGGGCACTGGGATGGGAGGGGGAGGAACAACAAAGGCCAAAACTGGGCAACCCCTGCCAGGCTCCTGAGGGAGGGGCAAGGCAGAACCCAAGGGCAGAACCTGCCAGGAAAGTTGGTTGTGGTGGCCTGAGTGGCAGAGGCAGCTGCCAGAGGCAAGGGGACAAAGGCCTGGGTGCCTTTGGGCCTTGCAGCCCTGCCAGAGCCCTTGGCCATCTCTCCTGCAGGCTGTCCTGCCCTGGCCCTGCTGCTGCTCTGGCCTTGCAGGCTGCACACACCCCTCCTGCTTTCCCACCCCCTCCCAGCAGCATTTCTAGACCCTCCCTGATGGCTCTGCACCAGCTCTGGCTGTTCCCTGGAACACAAAGCCATGGGCTGATCCTGACTCCCTCTGGGTGACCTCTTGCACCACAAGGGTCACCATGGAGTGACATTTCTTTTTCCTCACCTTCAGTCTGAATCTTCAGTGCTGCTCTTTGTGGTGATTTCATTCTATTTCCAATATGGAGAAAAGCTCCATCCTGTCAGATCTCCTCTAGACCCTCTCCAGTTCTTCCTCATTCCTCCAGAATGGGGAACCTCACAGACAGACGGACCAGTCCAGATGTGGTGACCCCAGGACTGAGTCCGGGAGGTGACAACTCCCTTGTCTGAGTGCCCACACTCCCCCCAAGGCAGCCCCATGATCAGTTGGCCTTAAATCAAGGGACCATTCTGATTCTTTGTAATGTCACGGAATCAAGTGGCACCGTGACACTGCAGGGCCTCATGGAACCAAAGGAATGCAGGGACACTGTGGAATCTCATGGAACCAAGGGACCATTGTGACATGTGGGGTCTGTTTGGAACAAAAGGAACCCTGAAATATCTCAGAGCCTCCTGGAACCAAGGGGCCACTGTGCCTCCCCAGAACTCCATGGAATCAAGCAGAGCCGCTGCCTCCCCCCCACTGCCCCGCTTGGACACCTCTGGAGTCAGCGTGTTCTTGGGCAGCACAGCTGATCTCAGACCAGAGAGTTTCCCGCATTTGCTTTGCCCCCTCTCTCCCCTGGTTTTGTTTTTTGTTCTTTGTTCATTCAGGGGAAAAGGGGGAAGGGAGGCACGTGTTGATCCCTGTTCTCACCTGTTTACAAAAGGGAGTTGGGGCAGGAGCAGAGAGAGGAGACAATTTGAACTCTTCTGTTGGTATTGCTGGTTTTGCTGCTCTATTTCTTGTCAGCAAACTCTTATTTTTTTACTTATACCTCCTTGTATTTTGTCTCCCTGTAGTGGTGGGGAATAAAAGGGGAGTGAGTTATTTTATTGGAGTTCCCACCCCAATATGTGTTTTTAAACCAGGACAGGTTGCTCAAGGGCTCCCTAAAATTTGGCATCGTTCACAAAGGACTTGAAAATACATTTTGTCCCATTGTACAGAGAGATAATAAAGATGTTCTCTAGTGGTGTTCAAGGGCTGGTCACTGAGGGATTTCACCAGGAAGTTGCTGCCAAGAGGACTTTGTACCATGGATTTTATTTGACCCTCTTCATTCAGCCAGCTTCCCACCCACCACATCTTCCACTTCTTCAGTCCAGCTCTCACCAGTCTGGCCATAAAGAGACCACAGCAGACCATGTCAAGGGCCTTGATAAAGTCTGGGCACACAACATCCTCTTCTATTCCCTCCCACAGGGGTTCTGCAATCCCTGCCTTGTCCTTCCCATGCCTGGGAATGGCTGCAGGAGGACTTGCCCTATCCCCTTCCCTGCTGAGCCTGAGCAGTCTGGAACTCTGCCAACCCTCCTTGCTGCCCTGTTGGCAGACTGGTTCCATGTCTGCCTTTGCCAAGGCCCCAGGAAGCTCTGGGATGGCTCTGGCCTTTCCAAGGGTTTGGAAGAGTCTCTCAGTGACACTGCCCAGCCTTCTCAATAGCCCTGACACCAAAACCTTTTCCATAGCCCACAGTTCCAGAGGAGTGCCCAGGACACAACACAGGTTGTCCTGGTGATTCTGGACAATGAGAAGGGATTTCTTCCTCGAGGCCAACCCCTCCAATTGGATTTGAGTGCAGCTGAAAGGTTTCCTCAGCATTTTCCCCAGTGCCTCCCTGCCCTGAAGGTTTGTGGCCATCAGGCTGGAGCTGAGGGGGTTGGGCAGGTGCCTGAGGAGGGGGTAGAACAAGGGCTGTGTCCAACTGTGCCAGGAGGGCTGTGCTGGGCAAGGATGAGGAGGCTGCAGAAAACAGTGGCACTGGGGAGGGGAGAGGAGCAGGTGGAGAGACCTTGTGCCTGCCCACGCTGGGCAGGAGCTGCCCCAGGATGGCAGCTCTGAAGCACTCCCAGGATGTCCCTGTGAACAGGAGGGGAAGACTGGATCTGAAAATGAAACCTGGAAAGCAGAGAGCAGGAGTGTCATGGGGACACTGCAGGAGAGTTCCAGCCCTGGAGCAAGGTGACAGAAGAAGTGACCCAGTCCATGCCCTGCCCACAGAAGATCCCACAGCATCCTGGAGATGCAGGAAGGGAGCCCAACTCTGCTTCACAAGTTCCCAGGGCCTGTCCCTACCTGTGCTCCAAGGGCTTCCAGCCCACAGGACTGTGCTCAGAGAGCACTCAGGCCTTACAGTGAGAAAGGGGCTCAGGAGGACAGTGTGGAAGTGGCAAGAGAGCAGCTCTGCAAAGACCAAGCACTGCTGCTCCCTGGCAGTGCTGCTGGGCTGGGATTATTGTCCCCCTCCTGTTGCAAATAAACCCTGTCCTGCAGTGTGTTGTCCTTTGGGAACATCTGAGAAGAAGGGTCTTGGACAAAGAAGGCACTGCAGGGTCCTTTATTTTGTTTAAATACTCAGAGAGTGCAATTCATTATTTATACATCTCTGGGTCAAATTCAATGGGTAGATACTGAATTAGAAGGCAGATGCATAATAATATTTAATTGTACAGAAATTTATTGCAAGAACAATCTGATGACCGCCACCAAAAACCTGAGCATGAAGGCCGGGCCATTAAGAAGTCCCATTCTGAATGCTACACACCAGAAAACAGGCACTTTATTGCTCCTGAAAAGCATCCAGTCATCATTTTTCTCAGGGCATCCTTGAGTTCCTGGTTCCTGAGGCTGTAGATGAGGGGGTTCAGTGCTGGAGGCACAACCGAGTACAGAACTGATAGTGCCAGATCCAGGTATGGGGAGGAGATGGAGGGGGGCTTCAGGTAGGCAAATGTGCCAGTGCTGACAAAGAGGGAGACCACGGCCAGGTGAGGGAGGCACGTGGAAAAGGCTTTGTGCCGTCCCTGCTGAGAGGGGATCCTCAGCACAGCCCTGAAGATCTGCACATAGGAGAAAACAATGAAAACAAAACAGCCAAGTGTTGAACTGGCAGTAACCACAAGAAGTCCAATTTCCCTGATGTAGCCTGAGTGTGAGCAGGAGAGCTTGAGGATGTGTGGGATTTCACAGAAGAACTGGCCCAGGGCATTGCCCTGGCACAGGGGCAGGGAAAATGTATTGGCTGTGTGCAGCAGAGCATTGAGAAAGCCAGTGGCCCAGGCAGCTGCTGCCATGTGGGCACAAGCTCTGCTGCCCAGGAGGGTCCCGTAGTGCAGGGGTTTGCAGATGGCAACGTAGCGGTCGTAGCACATGATGGTGAGGAGATAAAACTCTGCTGAGATGAAGAAGACAAAGAAAAAGAGCTGTGCAGCACATCCCATGTAGGAGATGGTTGTGGTGTTATGGAGGGAATTGTGCATGGCTTTGGGGACAGTGGTGCAGATGCAGCCCAGGTCTGTGAGGGAGAGGTTGAGCAGGAAGAAGCCCATGGGGGTGTGCAGGTGGTGGTCCCAGGCTACGGCGCTGAGGATGAGGCCGTTGGCCAGGAGGGCAGCCAGGGAGATGGCCAGGAAGAGCCAGAAGTGCAGGAGCTGCAGCTCCCGCCTGTCTGCAAATGCCAGGAGGAGGAACTGGGTGAGGGAGCTGGGCATGGAGCTGCTGTTGACATTTACTCCTTCCTCAGAGTATTTTGATCTGTTGAGGAGGAAAAGTCACTGCTGAGTTAGACCAGGCTTCTGCAGCCAAACATTACCCGTCTCAGCCACCCCACTCTCAGGCTCTCTCTCCTCTCTCAGACCTCCCTGCAGCTCCCTCCCCTGAGCTCTGCCTTTTGCTGGCTGAGGGGACCATTGGAAGCAGGAACTCTCTGATGGGCTCCCAAGGCTCTGCTGGGAGAGGGAACTTGGAATGCAGGCTGATCTCAAATTAAATGTAGTCGTGATACATCCAAGAGCTTCTCAGCTTTGCTGTTTGCAATTTGCCCAAATGAAGGACAGAGCTGAGGGAATTCTTTGGATTTGTTCACCCACTTGCACCTGCCACACTTAGGAGTGGTTGTGGAGGTTTGAAATCCCTGACATTTCTATTGCACTGCAGGTCAAGTCTTGTGGGTTCTAAAGGGGCACAGGGAAGGTCCCTTAGTGCAGAGAGAAGAACTGCTCTGCCCATCAGTCCTGGGCTCAGCTGCCCTGTGCTGGCAGCTTGGAGCTGGAGGAGCATCACACTCAACTGTTCCCCTAATGAGAAACTGCACAGAGATCCAGGAATCCATGTCCAAAGAACAGATTGACACACTGCTCACCTTTTCATCTCTCCCCTCCCAGAGCATTTCCATGGATTTAGCACTGAGGAGTTTTCTCCATGGGGATCCTGTGCAGCACAGAGATCCTATGGCAGAGCTGTGCCCTTCTGGAGGGCACCTGCAGCCCTGCAGGACACCCAGGCAAACAGCTGAAGACCCTGAAGGTGCCTGGAGGGCACTTGGCTCCCACAGACACATCCCAACAGCAGCACCCAAAGGGTTTGTGTCTGGACAGGAATCTGCCACCCTCAAACCCCACAGTGGCTCAGAAAAGCCACTGGTGAGAACAAGGAGAGCCCAGGCAGCAGGGGATGGCAGGGAAATGCCACAGTGCTGCTGCCAAGGGAGGAGGGACACAGAGAGACAGCTGGAAATCAGGGCCTCTGTCCTTGCCTGGGCTCTGGCTGCTGCAGGGCAATGCACAGCCCAGCCCCCGTGGGCCTGAGGGCACAGGCTCTGCTTAGGCTGGGAAAGGAGCCCAGGCAGGAGCTGCTCAGGGAAGGGGTCTGTGCCACAGGGACAGCAGGGAGGGGCCCCCATCCCCCTGCCCAGCCCTTGTGGCAGCAGCTGCCTCTCCCTGCCTGCCTGTCTCTGGGTGAGGAGCTGTTCCTGCCAGCAGCCCCTGCCTGTGCCCAGCTCAGCTCCCTGCCAGTGCTGCCAGAGCCATGCCCAGCCCAGTGCCCAGGGGCAGCTCTGCCTGGGCAGGGGCTGCAGAGCAGATCCCAGACAGCCTGCGGTGGCTGGGAAGGGGGAGGTGTTCTGGGGGGATGTGCTTCCTGAGAAGGGCCCCTGGAAATGGAGGAGGTGGAGCTGAAGCTGTGAGGAGCCCTGACCCTTCAGATGAAGGGCCCTGCCCAGCCCTGCCCTGCCCTGAGAGGTCACTCCTTCCACCCACCCCTTCTCCCCCAGCCCCATGGCTACTCCTTGGCCGGGCTGAGAGCTGACCCTGGCAGGCAGCAGAGTCCCTGCCCCAGCACACAGAGCCCTGGGGGCAGGACCCTGCTCTGCCCCACAGCCCTGGGCACCCCTGGCTGCACTCCCACCTTCCCACCCCACAGCCAGCCCTGCTACAGGGAACCTTCTTGCCCTGGGCCTCTGATGGGGCAGCAGCAAGTCCTGCTCTGCAGCAGCTTCTCCTGCTGCACCCCAGCAAATCCAGCAGAGCCATCCTGACAGCTCCTGCCACTGCTGCCATTTGGCAGCTGGGAGAGGCACTTGCAGGAACTCACCTGCCCTGCTCTGCAGCCAGAGCCTGACCCTGGCAAAGGGCTGGCAAGGTTCCTGCCCTGAGCAGCTCTGCCCTGTCCTCCCAGCCCAGGATCCCTTGAACCTCCTGCTCCCTTCTCCTCTCTGCCCTTGCTGCCTGCAGCTCCTGCCCTGCTCTGCCATATGGCCACTTCCCCTGCACTGCAGCAACTGGGAGAGTCCTGCTGAAAGATCCTAGAAGCTGTGGGATGTGCCAGCTTTAGGAGATGCCTCCAGGAAGGCAAGCTGAACTTTCCTACAGCCAGAGAATTCTTCCTTCAAATCCTGGGAAGGTTTCTCCCATAGTGAGAGCTCAGTCACCTCCCAGCCCAGGCTGCCTCTCATCTCTCTGCCTTCTCTCCTGTGCCCTGGGTGCTGCAGGCAGTGCCCTCAGCCCTTCTGGGCAGTGCAGAAAAGCTGCTCACCAGCAGAGCTGTCTCTTTGAAGCTCTTCTTGCTTGCCAGGAGCTCCCTGTGTGCCAGGAGCCCGGCCCAGCTCAGCAGCACAGCAACAGCCCCAGGCAGCCCTTGCTCTGCCCCTCTGGGCTCCCTCCAGCTGTCCCTGGGGCTCCAGGGGAACCTGCTGGCACACAGCTGAAGGAAATAATGATGTTCTTTCTCTCAGCTGGGCACAGACACTTCTTTCAGCACTGTCATTTCTCCAAACACACACAGAGTTCAAGAGTCCCCTTTTCCTGTCCCATCATTAGGCAGGAAACCCAGACAGTGCCCAGGAGGGATCTCCTTCACCTGCACTGAGGGAAGGGACTCAGCTGAGTCAACAGAGGTGTCTCCTTGTGGCTCTGCAGAGCTGGGGCCACAAGGACACTCAGCTCCCTCCACAACCCCCATGGGCTGGGATTCCTCCTGCCCCACTTCAGTGGGCAAAAAACAGGCACCTGCAGGTGACTCCTTGTCCCAGCTCCCATGGCAATGAATGAAGACCAAAGCCAGGAGTGACCTGCTGGGACACAAAGCCCTGGTTCCTTCTGAGGGGCCAGAGGTGACCGAGATTCCTGCTGGGAACTGCAGGCTCCAATGGAGCAGTTCCTAGGGACAGGGCAGCAGCTGTGGGATCTTCTTGGAGGCTGCTGGGACATTGCTTTGGCCAACTTCAGTGGCAGAAGGTGCCCACATGTAGGACAGGGGAACCTGTCACTGTTCCTTCTGTCCAGGGCAGCCCATGGAGGTGCTCAGGTGACCAAATGGAGTCAGGTGGCACAGGGAGAGAGGTCTCTCTCCTGTTCTTTATCAGGGTATTTTTTCATGTCCTCAGAGTACAATGGCAGTTGTCTCCTGGACATCCCTTCACTGCTGAACCTAATTCAGGGCAGCAGAGCCTGGACTGAACAGCCAAAGAGGGGCCTGTAGTGCCAGGGGAGGTGCCAGGGCTCTGCAGCACAAGTGCAGCAGCTGCCATGGACAGCACAGGGCCTGTGCAGGGACCCCGTCCCCATTCCCAGCAGTTGTGTGACAGGCACCACCCAGGGCTTCTCAGACACATTGGGGGCCACTGGGGCAGGGAGTGAATCCCAGCCCTGCAGGGACACAAAGGCTGTCCCTTCTCTGCCCAGCCAAGGCCGGGCCAGGCACGAGTCCAAATCCCATCAGCCCAGGCTGTCCACACTTGTTTCCTCCCTCTGCTGCTCTTCTCTCCCCCAGCATTTCAGCAGCATGTGCTGATCTTTTCAGGGATCAGGCCTGGGATTTTCCCCCTGGGCCTGAGTCCCAGCACGTCCACCCCCAAGGCCATTGTCAGCAAAGCCTCTGCACACCCCAGCTCTCGGGGCTTTCAGAGCAGCTTTCCCCACTGCAAGTCTGTTCTTACCCCCGGTGCCCCCGCTGAGGGGCTGCAGCCAGACAGGCCCCAATGCCCTGCGTGTGGGGCACAGGCAGCAGGAGCTGCAGCCCCAAGTCTCTCTTCATTCCACTTGCAGGCAATAACAGCCCAGGCCTGCTGAGACAGTTCCCAGGTTGCAGGGCTGTGATGGGTTGGGAGAGAAGGCCAAGGAGACACAGGAGAGAAAGAGCAGGAGAGAGGTGTCCTCAGCAGGAAGGAGCTTCTTGGACCTGTGGAGCTGCTCTAGGGGATGAACAACTTGGGTGAACTTTTGTGGGTGAGGGTGAGAGGAGAGAGTGGTTTTGGTGACCTTGTGGAGTGAGACAAAGAGCCCATTCCAGTTGTCTTTGATAACCCTGGAATTCACTGGAAAGGCACCACGACAGGATGCAAAGGGTCCCAGAGGTTTGTGCAGACAAACCTCTTGGTGAAGACACCCCTTGGCACACAGGCCTTTAGAGCACAGCTGGCAGGTTGGTGGACAAGAGGGAGGCTCATCTGCATCTGCTTCTGTCCAAGAGGAATCAAGAGGTTGCCATAGTAACTGACTGTAGCTATGGGAATATATGCTGGTTGCCATGGTAACTGGCTATAGCAATAAGAATGTATTATGGTTGCCATGGTAACCAACCGTAGTAACAGGAATGTATGCTGGTTGCCATGATAACTGCCCATCTCAATGGAAATGTCTGATGGTTGCCATGGTAACTGACTGTAACAACGGAAATGTATGCTGGTTGCCATGGTAACCGACCATAGCAATGGGAATGTGTGATGATTGCCATGGTAACTGACCATGGGAACAGCAATGTATGATGGTTGCCATGGTATTTGACTGTACCAGTGAGAGGTATGATGGTTGCCATGGTAACTGATAGTAGCAATGAGAATGTATGA